AAGAGCAGTCTCCTGGGGGGCAGGAAGTCAGAAGAAGAAGACGAAGACTTCTCATTCTGCTTCCTTGATGAGTCGCACACCAGGAGTACTGCTGGCAGACATCCATCTGTGCGTGTGACTGACTTCTTTAATCTATTGCTAAGAGACTCTTTGCTATCGTATTACTGTATCTAGTGATCACCACAAAGACCATCAGCCTGCTCATTGCCTGAATCCAACAAATGCATACTTTAAATGGCTTAATAACACAAGTCTGGCTTGTATGATCAGTGTCATATTCTAAGGAAAGAAAAATGAAGGCTTCTAAAAATTACAGTACAGTACTGAATATTTCTTGAAATTTTATAGCATAATTTGGTAGCATAGCTTTGAAGTATCCCCATTTGAAGGTGATGTGTATGTACGATCAGTAAGTGGAAGGACGGCAGGGAGGAGGCCGGATTAGTCTTCTATAAAAGGAAGTTCCACAACCTGGGAGCAGGTCACTGAATAAGCCACCCCTTGTGTCCTGAACTTATTGGGCCCGTGAGGGTAGTGAGACCAAGAAAAGGGCCTCGCACAATGACCTAAAAATGGGAAAACCTCGTACAGTGGTGCCTTGCTTGACGACGTTAATCTGTTCCAGCGAAATCGCTGTAGAGCGAAATCATCATCAAGCGGGGGAAAAAACCACTGAAACGCATTAAAAACCGGTTAATGCATTCCAATGGGCTAAATACCTAATTGTCCAGCCAAGATCCTCCATACGGCAGCCATTTTTCGGTGCCTGTACAGCGAAAATTAAGTCCTGAAAACAGTGGGGAGCTATTTTGCACAGCGGGTGGCCATTTTCAAACCCGATGATCAGCTTTTTTCTGATTGTCATAAAGCGAAAAATCGGTTCCTGGAGCAGGGAACCGATCATCGTAAAGCGAATTTTCCCCATTAAAACATCATTTTGCGATTGCAAAAACCTCATCGTCAAGCAGATTCATTGTTTAACAACATAATCATTAAGCGGGGCACCACTGTATAGGGAGATTTTCTGATAACCTGATCCCAAGTTGCTTAGGTCAAAACAACCACTTTAAATTGTGCTTAGGGCCAGCAGGTACTGGAATTTCCATTCTGCTTTTAACAGCCTCTTTGACCCACTGAAGTTTCTGAGTCTTGTCTGGATTAAGATTCAGTTTGTTTACTCTCATACAGTTCAAGCAGTACTTCTTTTCAACAAAGTTCTCATCCCAGACTTTTTTTAGGCAGGCTGGAGCCGTGCCTTGTTCTAAGGAGGTGTTCATCCATCCTGATGCTTTTATGAGCCAGGAAGGGAAAGGATCCAGCTTATAATGTAGACCTTAGCAGGAAGTGTGTTACTATTTGAGATTTCTTTCTTATGTTTATTTCTCTTTATAGCAAAAGACTGTATAAGCGAAGAAATATTAGCATGAAACCAGAAATAAGGAGGTATGTAAGGAGGACAATCAAGGTATAGCCAGAGAGTTACAACTATTTTTATCCCAAGGACTGTTTGTTCTAATAAAATGGTATGGTGGATGTAAAGAAAATATACTGTATATACCTGAAGTTGTTAATTTTTATGATTTTTCTTTCAGATAACCATTTCCCAGTGCTATTGAGGGGACTGAGTTGTAGGCTAAGAGACTGAGCAGCAGGATACAATGGCATCTTTGTAAGATGCAGGGGAATTTTAAGCAAGAATCTTCAAGACATTCAATTCAGTATACATCACTACTGAAAAGGTCTAAAATTCTGCTGCAATGAAAGGAAAGGGGGAAGTATGAATAAGCACAGATTTTTGCCTTTTCATTTATAGCCTTTTGAAGAGATTAGCACACATACATCATTCCATATATTTCAACCAAACAACATATGTAGATGGATTAATTTAACTGTTGTTTCAATCATTTTTTTCAGCAGTGATCATGCTTGGATATATTTCATGAAGTAGAAAGCATTTCATTACCGGGATTTATATTTTCAGGACATGTAACTTGAGAGATACATGTTAATTTTATCACATAATCCAGTGGTAATCCACTTCAGTATACAAAGCCATTAATGTTTTTCTCTTACTTCCTACTAGAATCATAAATGCCCAGTGGATTTCTCATTCCTACAGTGAATGAGAGAATAAGGAGCAAAAATACATATGCATTTATTTTATGGTGGCAGTCAAAAGCTTTTTTCTTTTTTTTACATGGAGGAGAGAGAAAAGAGTAGGCTCATTGAGAAGGCCTCATGGTCTCTCACTCCTTAGCAAGATGGCAGCATATTTGAATTATTTCCTCTAGTTCTGCTCTATATTTTCTCCACTATATGAAGAATAGTGCTCACAAATCTGTCATCAAAAGTACAGTAGCAATATGTGAAACAGAGCATCTAAGCCACCAGCAGAACATTTTAAAAATCCTTCCATTAAGACTACCTAGTCCAGTGGTGGCGAACCTTTTTTGGCTCGCATGCCCAAACTGGGGGGGGGAAACCAGGGGGCGAGGCGGAACCAGAAGTAGTGGCGGAAGGGGGAATCCCGGGCCCAGAGGTGCCTCAAGGCCCCACTCCGGATCTGCCACCAGCGACAGCTGCTCCAGATCCTGACCAGCCAGCTGTCTGGGCACCAGGACTGCAGTTGCAGGTGCCTGCTCAGGTTTGGCTGCAGGGAGGAAGGGGGGGGAGTAGCAACCCGCCGACTTATGGCTTGCGTGCCAGCAGGAAGGTCTCCGTGTGCCAGCTGTGGCACACGTGCCATTGGTTCGCCATCGCTGACCTAGTCCAATAGTTTCGGCAAACTGGTAAGACACTTTTCTATTTCAAAAGCTACTCAAACCAGACTAGACTCCATGTGTTTGTGTGTGTATATGAAGAAGAATATTTGGAGTACCCATTTTGTGTACTGGAGATGAACATTTCTAGTATTTTATTGCTATCAGATTACATTTTACTTTTGTATATCGACTTTGTTTCCCTCTCTATACTATACATCTTTAACTGATTTTTGCATAACATACTTTGAAGCTGCTTTTGTGGTGAGAAGTGATGTAGAAATTTCAGAAATGAATGACTGAATAATATCCCACTTTTGTAGGCCAGAATCCTATTAGATACTCACCCTGGCATAACTCTAATTGTACCAATTGTGGCAGTGAATTGCTGCTAATTAATATGTTGCCATTCATATTTGTCACGTGACATGGAATGTGACTTACTAATTAGCAGCAATTCACTGTTGTGATTTATGTAATTACACTTACAACAAGTGGAAATCCCTACTAAAATTTTGTCTCTGGTGTTCTCTAGATTTTAATACATTTCATTGACTTAAATCCCCCATCACACAAAGATATGATTGCTGGCACAATTAGACCTTCTTCATTTTTTTTCTCCTGCATTTCAAACTTCCAAGCACTGGACATGTGCTCTGAGTTTTCCATATCTTTAGAGGAAGTTTACAGATCATAACTTGGAGGTAGAGGAGTTCTTCACTCTCAATTCTGCTGTTCAGTCAGCAGAATAACCCTGATGAATCCCCCTTGTTCATTTTATTTCTCTTTTTGATAATACTTTGGGGAATATAAATTTGTGAAAGATGGAATAGATAGAAAATAAATCATGAGCTGCATTCAATAACTATGTATAGCTACAAGACAATGTATCATTTTAAATCTCCCAACATTTTTATCTCTTGGGTTTTTGTTTTAATTTTATTTTCTGTCTCTGTGTCTAATATGCTTACGCAGACTAATATGGGCTACTTCTTTGAAAGCAACAAATTATTTAAGTTAATTCAATTGAAAAGTGGCATATCTCAGCTGACACAGAATGAAACAAACATTTTGTCTGCAGTGCCTTGTCTGTAATGGCTCGTTCACTCACATACGGCCTGGTCCAATCCCACTGTTAGAGGACCATGCATGTGTGAACAGATCCAGAGAGAAGTACAGTATGTCTAAAATACTGTACTGTTAAAATTCTAAAATACTAACAAGTGCTTCTTTTTGTTATTTTTATTATTTATTACTGTTAGTATGACCTAACACGATAATTTAGAAGTGCTAATTGTCAGTTAGAGAAAAACCTAGCTTCCAGCCCTGAAACTCATGGTATCATCACAGTTCTGAGAATTTACTGAAGAAATAACTAGCCTTAGTGCAAGGTACCTCATGTCATTCAAAGATAAGTGATAGCTGAATAGTATTATGCAGATTAACAGTGCCAGGCATTAAAAATTAGAGAAGCCTTTAAAATAAACCAATCAGGTAACAACCCTGTGTCCTTCCCTCTGTTTGGGGGGGGGGGAACTATACCGTCCCTATTAACATCTTGTCTTAGAGACACTTGGGAGGACAACTGCTGGTTGTGAGTCAGTAAGCCATGCAGCCAGAGAGCATCTGATGCGCTTGAACTAAGGCCGCAGCACCTTGAGAGTTTAAAACCCACGGAGACATCCTGGCACACTTCTGCTCAGAAATTCCAGGGAGTCTGCGGTGCACAGAAAGTCCCTTCCTTGGGGAGTTTTAGTACCTGCCTTCCCAGATAGGGAAACGGGATTTAATTTAATTTAAGGACTGGGATTTAATTTAACTTTTCATATGCTGGATAGCTCAGTGGCTTAGGCATCGCCAGATGTTGGGGGTTCGATTCCCCACTGTGCCTCCTTGACAAGGGCTGGACTCGACCTTCGGTGGATCCCTTTCGGCTCTGCAGTTCTAGGATTATCATCAACACTCTTATTATTTTCCTCTCCAAACCTCTTTAACTCGGCATGAAAAGGGATCTGAGAACGGGTCCGTTTCCACTACGTTTGCCTTTGGGAAGAAAAAGTCGCCGGCCTCTTGCGACCCCTTCTTTTTTCCCCTCGCCTTCCCCTTCCAAGGAGTGCCGAGTGCGTGTGCGATGAGCGAGCGAGCGAGCGAGCCCGTCGCGTCCAAGGCTCCTCCAATCAGGGGTGAAGTCCCTGCCCCAAGGGGGCGGGCAGATGCTTTGATGTCGGGGGGTCCCCGCGGTGGCCGCCGAGTCCGCGAAGCTGGCACCTTTTCCCTCTTGGGCCGGCAAGAGGAGCGGCGGGGAAGGGCAGCGCGCAGACCGGGGCGCCGAGCCGGCACTTTGGGCGAACAAGTCAAGGGGGGAGCGGGGAGGAGGAGGAGGAGGAGGCGAGGAAGGAGGCGGAGGAGCTGGAAGCGGACGCCGCCGCGAGCGCAGGCAGGGGCGAACGAGGGTGGGCGCCGCAGGAACATGAACGAGCCCCACACTCCCGAGGCGGCCCAGCTGACGGGCGGCTCTCGCCGCTGAGCCGCCGCCGACAGCCGGAGCCGCGTTGGCGCTGAGAAGGGACAGTACGGCGGCGGTGAAAGGGGCGCGCGTTACCCTCCCGAAGGAAGCGCCGGGACCATGTGGGTTCCCGAGCGCCTAGCGGGGCTGCTGTGTTTCCTCGTCCTGCTCGTCTCCATGACGCGGGAAGTCCGCCTGCACCCCAAGTACGGTAAGAGAGAGCCCCGAGTGGAAGCGTGGGTGTGTGGGCGCGCGCGCACACGCACGGGTGGCCGCCTCTTTCCTGGCGTAAAAAGCCGCTCCAGTCGCCTCCGCGGTTTCCCCGCGACTGCGAGCTTTTCTAAGAAGCCCGGGCATTTGGCGCGGGCAAAGAAGCCCGGCCGGAGGGGAGCGCGCGTGCGCTGTGGGCGGGAGCTCTGCACGTGCGGGAAAGAGAGAAGCGCGCCCGGGCCAGGGACGCTCTTGTCGAGCCTGTTCGGGTCTTCGACAGAGAGGGTGCCTTTGGCCACTCTCGCCGCCCAGAGTGCAGCCCGGTTCTCCCAAACATGGTTATTATTAGAAGCAGCTTCCTCGTCTGAAAAGTGTGGGCCAAATAACGAAACAGCTTTATTTTTCTGGCTTTTTTATTTTTTTTTTGTATTTTTAAATTGTAGGCAAATATATCCTAGGGATGGAAGATAACCCACCTTATACCAGAAGCCCGGCCAGCCCTTCCAGTAGACAGAGTGTAGAAAACTGCCTTAACAGTGCCTCACTCAAACCTGGGCCCCCAGATGTTCTTGGACTGCAACTCCCAGAAATCTTGGCCTGCACAGCAAGTGGTGAGAGCTTCTGGGAGTTGCAGTCCAAGAACATCTGAACACCTCAGTTTGAGAACTATTGAGCTAGTAGATTTTGAGAGACAGGAATGATAGTGCCTCTTCCTGAGTCCCGAACTATTTCTGTACTTATTTCTGTAACTGGGTTCACGGATGAAATATATTTTGTGTCATTAATGGAATGTATATGATTATAATTATTTGGGGATGAGCATGAACAGCTGTGGTCTACGCATCTGAGTGGTGGCTGAAAGAGGTAATATGTGAGTTTATAAGTACTTTTAGATAAGCATAGTGCGGTGTTCTGGTTTTCCAGGAAAAATTGCTTAAGCTACTTTCCTTGACTTTGTTGGATGTTCATCTGTGTTCCTTTGCTGGTTTCTTGCAGAGGCTTTGATGAAGCACCTGTCGTCGTATGAGATAGTGACACCTACGAGAGTGAATGAATTTGGAGAAGCTTTTCCTCACACTCACTACTTCAAAAGGAGGAAAAGGAGTATGGAAGCAGTAATGGAATCAATTCCTTTCAGGACTCATTACCGCCTCAGTGCCTACGGACAGGTTTTCCAGCTGAATTTGAGTGCTGATACAAGTTTCATTGCTCCTCACTACATCGAGGTGCATCTGGGGGCCACAGAGAAGCAGCCCACCACAGATTTGCATCACTGCTTCTATCGTGGACATGTCAATGCACAGGAGGCATATGCGGCAGTCTTCAGTCTCTGCGGTGGCCTGGTAAGCAACACTGCATTTAGGATCTGTTTTTATCCTTTCTCTGTGGTTCTGTGACACAAATTTATATAAAACAAATGCTTTGTAATCTTTTCTCCTTCCAGAGAATACAGAGAAACAGATCAGTAATATTCTGCCCATGGAAATAGAGATCACCCACTCAGTGGTCTTTCTATCTGTTCTTTCCTTCTTTTTCTTTATCTCTTTACCTCTTTTGTGTTCTGCCTCTTTAATTACCTTTCCTCTAAGCTTGAAGTTGGGAGGAACTTCCAAGCTTGAACACAAGGGACATTTTCCTCATTCGGAATGACCTCTAACTCATTGCCTTGCTTATGTTCAAAGCGTTATGAAAGTAAAGAAGCTGTGTTTGATCCCATTGAAAACCCGTGAAGTCCAGCATTGTATTCCTGTAATTATTAACAAGCTGTCTGTAGAAAGCCCAGAAAGAGGATTTGAAAGCAGTATCATCCTCAAGAAGCTAGTACGGACTCAGAAGCAGAATTTGGAAAAATAGATTTTGCAAACTCTGTTCAGAGGCTGCCTCCTGGAGGTAATTTGTAACTGTTATGACTTGTAGCCATTGCTAATTGTATTCCCCATGGATTTGTCTAATCCTCTTTCAAAGCTGTCACAATTGGATGCTATCACTGTACTTTGTAGTAGTGAATTTCATGTGCTGAGTGAAGTATTCTTTTCCTTTTGTCTTAATTGCTTCTTTGTCTCACAGTTCGTCTTGCTCCTGACATTATAATGCTGAACAGAGACAGGTAGAAGTGCATGAGCATTATATACGATGGGTCACTGTGTTTCAGGTTTAGTTGGTTGTGGATACAGTACTTGGAAAATATTGCTATCCATAGTGGACAAATAACAACTTAAAAAGCTGTTTCATATTTTTTTAAAGATGGACAACTGAGGCTGAAGTGATTCATCCAACTCCATGCAGTAAAAAAGAATCTTTTAGCCTCAAGTATCATGGGCTATCTCCTGATTCAGTTATTTGCTATATATAAATGGAGGCATTGGTGGACCATTTCTGAGTTCTTTATACCTCAAAAACATGGCAGCGTGTGTGTGTGTCTCCATAAGTTGGAATCAGTTTTATAGCTTAGAGTCCTATTACCTTATTATCTAGGATTGTAGTATGTGAACACATTTTACAGCCAGCCAGTGCAAATGATGACCCTCTCAAATACTGTATTTGTGAGTTTACTAACAGGGGACTGTATTAACAAAATGAATAACATCTCGTATATGTTAGGTTTTGGCCAAACATAAACTACTCAGTTCTTTTAATTTTCAGTCTTTCAATTTTCACTTTTCTAGCTAGATTTCTGTCCAGATATGCTTTTAATAATGTCAGTTAATTTAAAGTTCTGTGGAAGTTACTTTATTTGAGTAGTGTGAAACCAACAATGCTAAATTTAGAAGCCTGAAAAGAATTACGGTACTGTTAGCCTGAGAAGTCTTTCTAGAAGCCTTTAAAGGGCACACCTATTATACTGTTTAGCGATTATACACTTTACCAGGTGTTGGATAAATTGTACTGTTCGGTGGACCATTTGTGTCAGCGCATGTGTTACTAATACAGCCCAGTTTTACTGGTTGCATTGCTTGACTTAATTTCTCTGGATCTTGTATTATCTTGCTTGGATATCGTTAGTCTAGTTACTACAGCAAAAACCCGCTACTTTACATTAAGAGAGTATTTATAGTTGTGGGTTTTTTGGGCTCTCTGGCCTTGTTCTGAAGGTTGTTCTTCCTGACGTTTTGCCAGTCTCTGTGGCCGGCATCTTCAGAGGACTGGAGTAGGAACTCTGTCCATGCTTTGTTGGTGTTTGTTGGATAGTATTTATAGCTGTGGGAACTGCTTTTGTCTTTTTTCAGGAGATAGGGTGATCAGCATGTTTTTGTTGTGATGGGGGGGAGAGGGAGAGATTATCTGTCACTGTGATTGATGGGTGTCATTAGCTGGTCTTTTTTGTGCAATGATCTCTGGCCCTTGTGGCTGGGTAAGAGTATTTATTACATTGAAGTTTATTGAATGTTAAGGGAAGAATCAGATTTAGCAGCTTCCTTCTGTACTGTTGGACCTGTGTATCTATGTTGCAAGGCAGCCTTCGGTCACAGGAAGGTGCCTGAGAGGGGCAGGTTGGTAGCAGGAAACTACCACACATGCACCAGCATGAATGGAAAAAGGATGGGGAATATGGAACAGGTGTTGTTTGGCTTGCATCTCATGTAAGTTGTTAAAATAATTGGTATTTGAATTTAAAAACTATTTTCTGAAATCCATTTGAATATTTTATTAAAGGTAACATTTTAATTTTCGTTTATATTCTGAAATCCTGTGAAGATTGTATCTCAGTGATTTATGATGCATATGCTGATAATGCATAAATGAGTAAGTATTTCTCATGTGTAGACTATTTCTGGTTCAAAAGGCATCAAGATGCACAGTCTGCAACCTTGTACAGTATATTTTGAAGGCTTCCACATCTTGAGGATATATCACTTTGGTTTGTTTTCCTGAGAATTAATGTAGTCCTCTTTCTCAAAATTAGTTAAGCATCCTAGATGCAGAGATGTAAGACTAGTCTGTTCATCATAGTTTCTGTTTCTCTGCTCCATTATAATAATGCTTGTGGTGCTACTGGATGTTTATTTCTCCTCTCTTTCTGTTGAGCAGTAGACCATAGCAAACCTGGGTTTGCTGCAGTCTACTACATGCAGCACTTGTTACAAGGGAATTGGCAGCATCTACCTATTTGTAATCTCTCTTTTGTGTATCTGGACATGGGAGCTAAGAAATGAGAGGGAGAGGCATTTAACAGTTTTTTATGGTCTCTGTCCATGGTACCCATAGCTGTGCATTTGCCACTGCTTCACAAGACAGTGAAAACTCACTTTCATGATAAGGGTTGGGCACATACACCGCCATCAGATTCAGAATGCAAAAGTCGCCCTTGGTACCTCAAGCTTTCATTTTGGGAGACTGAGCACTGCTACTGCCTGTGCTGGTAGTCTTGAACCCATCTACAAGGATGAATACAACTTATTTTGTTTATTTTCTTCAAACAAGGACAAGCCTTTGTGAAATCTCTGCTGTCGCAGGGGAAGGGAACAGGATCACCAAACCAGTTATTTGTTTGGATAATAATACTTAGGAAATGCCCAGAAGCACATCCTGAGAGGTCTTGGGGTGCTTCACCAAACTCATCAGTGGTTTGAGGTGTGTCATATTCCAGGAAGTTGCCAGAAGTAGGGATTGGGCTTTCATGTCTGAATTTAAGACCTAAAACATAAAAGAGGCTGTCTTTCATGCAATTTGTATTCTTTTGGTGATTGCTGAAACAGGAATGAATTGTGTTTCCAGAAAAGGGTAAGCAAAGAGGTTTTTTTTGTTTCTTTTCCATTCTTTTCTTCATGTAACGTGTTGCTGTCCCTTTGTCTGTCAAATTTCATGAGAAATTTTTCATCCAATAACATTTTAAGGGCTGTCATCAGCTCAACGTTTGCATGGAGCAGGAATTGTGAATCTGTAAAATGGCTTCAGTTCTTCCTTGTGGGATTTCTGTGCACCGAGCTCCTGATGGCCCCCATCTTGGATTGCTGTCTTCCAGCTTGCCTCCTGTGTCTCCATACTTTGCCTTTTTCCCCACAATTTTTTGGGGGGGATTCCCCCTATTATTTTGGATAATCTCAAGGAGCATCCTTCCTTGGAGTTTTTTGTTTGTTTTAATTCCTTGTTTTTATTTCCCTCAATTTCTTTGGATATACCCTCACTTGGTACTTACTTTTCTTGTATTACTTTTACTGCCTGTCTGTTGCTGCATATTGAAGTCAAAGAAGAGGAGACAGCATGTGGTAGAGGGGAGAGAAATATCCCTATATTCTAGTAGCTTTGATTTGGAAGACTTCGATTGTATTCTTTTCATTTATTTGCTTGCTTGCTTTTCTTTATTGTTGGGAGAATGGGCTGTGTGTAGTTTTTTGTTTTTGTTTTTGCTATTTTTCCCCTATGTGTTTGCTTTCCTTTACTGATTTTTAAAATTAAATTAATTTACTATGCATTCATTCTGTTATAGGCGTTTATTTTGTTTTGTTTTTTGGGGGAAACTAAGATAAATAGGTACCATCTCGGTGGGAAGGTAAAATGGCATTCCTTAGTCACGCTGGCCATGTGACAATGGAAACTGTCTTTGGACAAGCGCTGGCTCTATGGCTTGAAAAACGGGATGAGCACCGCTCCCTAGAGTTGGATACGACTAGACTAAAAATGTCAAGGGGAACCTTTACCTTTATATTGTTATTTGGGGGGATGGATGCTGGGCTGTTTTGGTGGTTTGTGGACAGGAGGGCCTGGCATGCTCTGGTCCATGGGGTCACAAAGAGTCGGACATGACTAAACGACTAACAACAACAAAAATTGTTGTTTGGGCACAGCTGTGATAATTGATGAGGAATTGATGGTGATGAATGGGATAATATGAAGTAGTTCTTTCTCATGAACTATTGCTTACTTTTGGAGTAGATTGGTTCTCTGTTGCCTTGCTTTTCCTATTTTGGAGGAAAGGGGTTTTAAGGGTTTTGTAATATCAGAAAACACAAATGGGAAAACCTGATTGGGAAACTGAAAGATCTTTCATATAAAACTAAAGGAGTGATAAACAAAAAATACAAACATGAAAGAGCTCCCCCCCCGAAAGAACCCAAATTGAAAGAAATATAAAACATTTTCACTGTGCCCATATCTAGTTGGAGATGCTTAGCACTGCATCATGAGAGATAGTAAGATGCTCTTGGGAGTGTCCTATGGCCTTTTTGCCCATCAAGTGAGGAATTTACAGAAAGGGGAGGAAAGCGAAAATCCTTCTACCTTTTATCCATTGTCTCACTTCCTGTGAGTTCTTCATGAGTATCTATTTGTCTGTAACTGATTTTCACAAACCCTTTTCATTTTTGTACAGCCAGTGAGAAAGCATGTAACCTTATGTTTTCAA